TAGCCCGGCTCGGCGCAGCGGTAGCCGTTGGAGACGACGCCGATGACGGCGTGCGTGCCGTCGGGGCGCGAGGCGATGAGCGGGCCGCCGCTGTCGCCCGTGCAGGCGTCCCGGCCCGGCGCCGCCGCGCACAGCTTGGTGCGGCCGAAACCGCCCGGGAACGTGTACCGGAAGTCGGGGAGCGTGCGGTACTGGGTCTCGCACTGGTCGGCGTCCTTCAGGCGCACCTCGGCGACGAGCAGCGACTCCGACGTGCTGCCGTTGAAGGCCTGGCGGCCCCAGCCGGCCACGCGGACGGGCCGCCCCTCGAACCGCTCGCCCGGCTCCGGCAGGCAGGCGGCCGCCATCGTCGCTGAGAACGTCACCGGCCGCGTCAGCCGCAGCAGCGCCAGGTCGTTGTGCTTGACGCGCGGGTGGAAGCGGGGATGGCGGAGCACCTCCGCCACGCCGCGCCGCACCACGCCGCCGCCGAGCTGCACCCGCAGCCACGCCGGCGGAGGCCAGGACTTGACGCAGTGCGCGGCTGTCAGTACGGTGCTGGCCGTGATCAGCGTGCCGCCGCAATGCCAGAGCGTCTTGCCGCCAGAGCGGCGTATGCCCAGCCGCACCGCCCACGGCCAGGCGCGGGCCGACGCGCGGTGCCCGCCGACGATCTTGGCAGCAGCGGGGGCGTCTCTTGTACCCGGCACGCGTCCACCAGCTGGCGGTTTACCCGCCCCACGTGCCGACAGCATGCGCTCGGGCGCTCGCAGCGCTCGCTGCTCGTCACGCCCACCGTGCAGTTCTTGCGCGTCGCGCATACGCCAGCCTTGCCTCTTGTGGTCTCGCAGAAGACCGTTCTTCGGGATCCGATGGGCGTGCGTCGGCGCGGTGCGCGCGGTGGCCGCGGGAGAAAGTGGCTGCTGGCCATCTTCACGGGGCGCTTGTCCGCTGCGTTGAAGATGCCCGCACAAGTCCCGTTGCGGCAGTGGCTGCTGTCGCACCCCGGCTCGGTCCCGCGCTGGGTTCGGGGCTTCGCATGGGCGGTCCACGTCTGCCCTGCGACCAACGCCGACAGCAGCACCACTAAACCGGAGAGTTGCATGGCTCGGCGTGTGGCCCGCCTCTGGGCTCGGCCGCGGCCCGACGGACTTTATACCCCCGGGCGACGACAAGTCATGTCTAACAATGTGCTCCGAGTGGTAGTACTGGCGCCCCGGGCGGTTTGTAGGTCGCTGCGGACTGCGCGCCCTGGGTTGTTTCGGGTCGCGGTGGCGGTACGGTGGGCTGGCTGTTTGGAGTGCTGGCTCTGTGCCAGATTGATAGTCGATGCCCAGAGGTGTGTTTTCGGGGCAGGTTCGCTGTACAGGACACCGGTGCGCCCAGACGCGGGACAACACCAAAGACAAGGGAACGAGGAAGGGAGGTCCAGGGCGCAAGGCTGCCGTGGAGCGATTGACCTTACTCAGGCAAGCCCATTGTCGTAGGCCGGAGAGGAGAGGTCGCTATGAAAGACGTCCTAGTTGTAACGGGCGTGGAAAAGCCGCGAGACACGGTGACGCGCGTGGCGCACGGAAACGTTCCCCGTTCCCCACGTTGAGATAGTGCATTTATATCAGCAAGAAAGGTTTTTGGACTCATGAATTTTCGGCATTATGAGTTCAGAGTGTTTACACTGACAGTTGCCCACCTTGACTGATGATATTCATTATACCAGTGGTGTTCAAATATTTCCTGTTTGGACCAAACTCAAAGAAGAAATGAAACCCTTTCCCAGCTGCTGAAATATTCGCAAAGTAAAGCGACGCACTGAAAAAAACATTGCCCCTATGTTCGCGACCTCGGCAGGCTGCGTTAAGATGTCGTGTACTGTCGTCACCTGTGAAGACCCGTAGGCTGCCAGACAGTTTTTGGTTATTTATGTATATTTTTTATTATATGTATATCTCTAGTTATTGATTTTTATTTATATTTTTGTTTTTGGATTGTTTTTGGTTATTATCCTACTATATCTTTGTATAAGTACACAATTATGTTTTTATGTCTGCAATGAGCCTCGTATCCGTGTCCTTTACATACGCACACATTTCTTGGTCTCTTTGATGGTACATCAAACATAGATTAGTGTCTACCCGTGTTAACGCAGGGATATTTTTTGCTCATTCAGGCTCGATCATGAACTATACTATAAATTTCATATCTACAAACGCATATGTTCCGCCCCTATCTGCAGGGTCGTAGCATCGTGTTAACTACTACACACATTTTAATACACGACCTTTTGACTCACTTAACTCAATGAAGTTCCACCCAGTTATCAGGGCTTTTTGAACAACTGTGGCATCAACCTCCGTTAGGAACATCAACTCCGTTAGGCCGACAAGAGCGGGACGATATCTGAGACAACTCTTGCGACATATTTGCCTGTTTTGCTCCATTTGTCCCAAACTCCTGGGGCAGGCTTCCCGGTGCCTTTGTCAGCGGCAGTCCCAGTGCCTTTGTCAATGTCAGTCGACAAGTCGGGCGGAGAAAAGTGCCCTATATGACTGGCAGAGCGTTCGCTCTTTCGCTGCAGCCCTATGAAACCACCACAACGCTACGCAACGTTTGTTGTTTTGTCGCCTGCAAACAAGCCCGCACAGAAATCCCGATGTTGCGACACGTTAGATGCCTTGCAGCGCATGTGTGAGCCGGCGCACCACGGCGACGACACAGCGAACTGGACAGTGGGAAGCACTGGGAGGCAGCGGCTAGGCGGCATACCGGAGGCGTCGCCGTATGCAGTACACCCGGCCAGACGAGTCTCGGCAGGATCAAGCCGAAAACACTAGTCCGTCCTCAAGCACTCTCGCCTCTGTGTGTGAGGAATGTTGAAAACGCGTTATTCACATCTGGTATTCAGTTTTCATGAACCCCTACTTCGCCTCACGCAGTCTCAACAGATGCTAAAATAAAACTTTTGTTATTGATTGTTCCTTTCGTACGAATCGTCAAAATGAGGTTACCGACCTAGTATCACTTGCATTTACTGTCAGTTATATTTCGTGAGGGTAACTTAGATAGCCATCTCGAAGGAAATTTTAACAAAACAAGGATGACGTTGAGTGTATGCTCATGTGAAAATGTAAAACACACTTCAAATGTTGATTTTTTTAACGCCAGTAGTCTATGATATACAAAAATAATATTCAAACATTATAATTTGTTTCCTGGTAGAATAACCCGTGTACAGTTTTTCTGTGACAAGGCCGGGCCTTGTTCGGGAAAGTACGGTTCTATTACTGACGTGACATATCGGAATGTGAATAAGTCTCGAAGTTAACATTGCTACCATTCAAAGACAGTGTTTTTAAGTCTGTGTTTTCGCCTCCCAATTACACATTTCACTGCTATCAGGTCAAGGGAATTATGTGACGTCTAGTCACAAGATCACCATTATGCTCAACACCGTAACCCAACAGATGCATCATAATCTCCAAATCACAAGATTTCGATTGGTATATCATACATGTGTATGCACACCGATTTTTGTAATATGCAGGCTATTTAAGATATACCTGCAGTGCGGAACTGAAAAATATCGCGCACTTTACCCTCAACATCACTGTTTGGTTGAATTAAAGAAAATCAACGAATTTAGAGCATCTGCTAGCAATTAAGAAGGAATAGCACAATCTGAGAGGTGAGTGTGTTGTTTTTACCCTTGATGGTTCAACTGTGATGGAATGCCCAGCCTGCCTGCGGGGACCGAGTCCGCTCCGGTTGCCGCCTGCCCGACCCCCCCCCCCCCTCCCACGGGGAGCCATCAAAACGTCCAGGATCGCAGCGTCCAGTGTTCATATCGACCAGGATCGCAGCATCCAGCGTTCATAACGTCCAGAATGCGCCTAATTCCGTGCCCATTCCGTTCATAACGTCCAGGAACGCAACGTCCAGAGTCACAAGTCCAGAGTCGAAAAGTCCAGTGTTCAAAACGTCCAGCACCCGTGGCAACCGGGCTAGTTTGGACTTTTGCCAACAGCTGGCACAGTCAACCTGACATTCCACTGATGATCACGTGAGGCATACAGAAAAGCATGGTTACTATAAATTACCACATGACACCTGGCGGCCGTGTCCGGCCTGGGCGCGGCCGCGCCCCAGGGCTCACCGGCGGACTGAGCGCAGATGCGCCGGGCGGCGGCGCGGCCGGGGACATGGCGGGCGGCGCGGGCTCGGCAGGGACCGCTGTGCCCACGGAGTAAGCGGGATCTCCCGCCCCGCCGCTGCTGCCGGGGCCCCAAATGCCGGTGTATACTCGATTGCTCAGGGGCCCTTCATATTGGTATTGGGTTCTTTCCATTTGCTTGGAGGACCCCTGTGCTGTTGCTGGGGCCCCATATAAGGTAACACTCCGAGGCACTCGACTCTCAGGGCCCCTCTTCATTGACCTATAGCTCTTTCCCTTTTTGAGCCTATTTGCTGAGGACTCTTCACTTGTCAGAGCTCTCTACGTTAACCCGTCCGGGCACTCTTGATCACACGGGGGCGTTAATTCATGTACACTGATCTTCGGCTAGTGCCCGTTTGTTCAGGGGATCCTGTACTCCGGCTGGACCCAATATGTTAGCCTGCCGGGGTACTCCCGATCGTTCAGGGGTATCGTTCAGGGATCGTTCAATATGGTAATGCCATATTGGTATTGGGTTCTTCTCGCTTGTTATGGGGGCCCTTCACTGTTCATGGAGCCTCCTTGTTGGCCTGCCACGGAAGTTGCGATTGCTCAGGTGCCGTCGTTATTGGTCTCGGGTTTTTCCGTTGTATACGAGGGCCTACGCCATTGACGGATGCCTAAATCTTGATCAGTTGTGTTGGGGCTTCACTTCTTACCGACTGATGACTGAATTCGCGGCTATACCGATAACATCGATGAATTCGTGACTGTCATTGTCGAAGATAATTTTGCACGCCGCCGACGTCGTGCATGTTATTTCCATTGTTTGTTGAATTTGTGACGATTGACCTGTACGTTACGTTTTAATGCATTTTTTAAAGGATAGGATATTCTGTATTCCGTTTAAAACAGACAAAGCAAAAGCTCTGTATTAGCCCTCAGCCATCAGCTGATCCAACTACCCGGCTTACCGTGTATAAGCCAAGAATCAAGCTTGTGCTTTGATTTTGATGGTATTTAGAAGCCAATTTAAGTGCATGCTGCCACGCTTTCTTCAAAATACTTAGCCCCAATATGACAGGATCCACCACGATCTGACGAAAATGAACAAGCTCCATGCATTTGCATACAAAGCACACTTAATTTTCTAGGGCTGCGCGCAGTAAGCTCGGCTCCCATATACGAACTGCATACGTAAGAATGTTAAAACTCAGTGGCCGAAATACGATGATTCTTCGTGGATACAGCCTTGAAATCTAAGGAACTCGCAAAGCAAGAAGACTGCACCAGTTTTCTAGCATTTTCACAGTGTACATGTGTCGAGATTTAGTTACCGTGAAGTTTACTGCCTTCGATCGCTCCGATTTGGTGTCGTGTTAGTTCTGGCCGGTGCTTTTGCCCGAATCGCACATCGCGTTTAATAATGACGTATATATGTATATATATATATATGTATATATATATATATATATATATATATATATATATATATATATGGGGATATGACGACAGACACACGAAGCTCGCAGAACTTGCACAGTATATGACTGGTGACTGACTCTTCTATATTACTAGCTCTTCATTTCATTTCGGCACACTAAACACTTTAAATCAGGGCATAAAACACGAGCATGCAAACCAACAATAAACTTCTCACTGAACAGCAATCACTGCCGTTTTGACCTGGCAACAACAAACAAGCCGTGCAGAATATATCATTAGCAACACACACTGTTACTAACACAATAATCAACACAACAAATCACAACACTGCATGCCAACCACCCGATACACACGCCATTTTATCAGTGTCTTCTTCCTTGTCTACGCGATTTATTTGTGATGCTGCTCCAAAGAGATATTTCAGTAGTTTGATTCATTTCTTTCCACACATAAAAATCACTAACAATATAGGCTAGCGTGCCAGGAGCTGGAGATCTATATGCGTGCCGACCTAGAGCAGACATAAAATTAGTCTGCCTTACACATCAGTCATCAATTCCTTCAAAAATGAGAAACATCACCAACACATACAGTAAATAACGGAACCAAATATTGCGGAGAATCTCATCCATAGCCCACAATACCAAATAGCGGGCAACCCAACAAGTGCTTTCCACGATTATCGTGCAGCTACTGCCGTGTGACCAGCCATTTCCGATGTCACGAGCGAGTGATCAAAGTTTTGAATTCTTTAATGCGCCTGCTGCCAAGGGCGTGCTGACGCGGCAAAGTTGGCGCGCTCAAACAAAACGTTGTCCATATCCATGCACAGTGGTTTAACTGGGCGACACTGCACCGCACGTTGTCACACGTCGGCTGAGGCGGGCGAAGTCGGCTTCGGTAGCCCTCTATCGGGCAATATCCGAAACCATTAGGTGATGGGTTGCGGGGAAGTAGGATAGCATCCCTACCCCGCCGCCGCTGACGACGTGTGGCGATGCCAGCCGGGCCCAGTTCCGCCTGACGCTGGCCCCGCCGCTGTGCCCCTGCGCAAGCATCCAGTTCTGCTTGGGTGGCGTGTGTCTGCCGCGTATTCCAAACTGGTTCGCCTGT